TGGTGCAAGGAAGGCGGCAGACATTTGAATCCAATTTGTGTGTTTTCCAAATTAGTGAATGAGGAGGAAGAGGGAATTATTTCACCCAGGTGTTAAATGCTTATATTCTTAACTTAGTGGAGTACAAGCATTAGAGGTCTCTTGGTGTCCCCATAAATCAAACATATATTAATGTCTCTGAAGTCCATTTAAGTTTACGAGTTAATTTTATGCTGGGAACACTGTACTGCAGGTATTTTTCTTCTGCTCTAGTTGTGTATTGCCCTCCCACATCGGCGGTCACCACCTGTCTAGGAGCACCTAGTTTAGTATTAGTACATTACAGTTAGTGACTGTCTTAATGATTTTTAAATTACATATTGATTTGCTCCTTAATGCCTTTCCTCCCCCATGCTTTGTTTCTCCTCATTGGCATTCCTAGATGACTATCTTAGTTCACCAACATTTTTGTTCAGCATTTTCATAATCTTTGCAAGCAGGTCAATATTTGTTTCCTACAAACCTTTTGCTAAATAACAACCCTCTAAATCTTGTGAATGAGATGTGTCTTGTTCAGAGGGCAAGGAAGTTGGTCAGGAAGTGGGATCATTCACGTGCTAAGGGTGACGTCCGAGTTAACAAATGAGTTGGCATCAACAAATCTCTTTATACGTCTTCATTTGCTTTTTGAAGGTAATAAATGTGGATTCTCAAGAACAATAATATTTGAGCATCTCTCCCATATTGTGCTTCCTTCATGTTTGATTCTTAATCTTTGTGCAAGGGAAGGATGTAAGGATGTGTCCTGTTCTGCTTGTATGTGCTGCCCAGTGTGAGCAATGTGAAACAAAACCAAACAAAAAGTGGTAGATAAAGAGCATCTATGATAGGGAGAAAGCTTTGGGGTTTTTATGCTTTGACTTTCACTCTGTTTTGCAAACAAAGATGCATAAAAATATAATAAATCTGCAGCTAGATAAGCAGTGACACAAAGGCTGTTTTGTATTTATATATAAATATGTGGCTGCTATTACCTTACTGTCAAAATACACAGCCCAAGTATTTTAAAGTGAGATATATAGAGAATTCATTACCTATATTTTCCATTTACATATTTTTGTGTGTGTCTGATAGTTAATAGCAACCTGGATATATGTGACTGAAGCAATGAACTGTGAACAGTTGTAAGATGCTGCAGTTTGGCCACAAGAGCATGCGTAGGATTATGCCCCAGATTTAAAAGGTGATTACACTACTTCTTACTACCACTTTGTGGAAGGTTACTACCCTATTCCTGATCTGTGGTTAGGGATTGCACTCACATGCTGCATCCATTTCTATGCAAAGTCAGGTTTAGTGGTTTTTTAAGCAGAAGCCATCAGGTATGGAGTAATCTTCAATTATTTAGCTGTGCAAAAAAGTGTCTATGTCTTTGGTCTCCAGTAAAGACAGAAGCCCAGTACTTTCTCTAAATGTTGTCTTTTTGCTCAAAGTCCCTCTGTGATGAAAACCTGAAAACTCTTATCTGTGTATCTGTCAGGGAATGCTGAACTCTACTCACTGTTAAGTCCACTTCGATGAAGTAAATTGGATTGGGGACCTTGACTACAGGGGCACAGGTTTTGGGGGTGGGATGGGGTGGATCATGCCCATGACCTCTTGAGCTATTGACAGAAAATACAGAGTGTGCTTTCTTTCTGTGCTCTAAAAAAATCAGATTTAGACTGTATTCCGTCCTTGGTGGTGGTGCTTGTTGCCAGAAAATCCAGTTGAGGGAGATGATAATATATGAATTTCTCCAACACGTCTCTACTTACTCTATCAGGAATTGCCCAGAAGAGTCATTTCTTCCTACCACCTGTTGGTAAAACTAAGACTTTTACTGGAATAAAGAAACCATTACAACCAAAAAAAGCCCATTTCCGTGTCATCTGCATGTTTTGCATGTTAAACCTTCTGCCTGCAAAAATTCCCATTCTGCTTCTAGCAGTTATTCATCGTAGACATTTGCGATGAGTACATGAGACTTGATCACCTGTCTGTAATGACAGTCTTGCTCTCTGAAGTTCACTTACTGCAGCTGCATAATGAGAAGACCTGTGGTGATTCTTACGGGGAACTTTTATTTTGTTAGACGTGGAAACATTTAAGCTTGAACTCTGCTATAAAAAATTAGTGGCTGCTTTAGGATTCATGAAGAGATGAGCCAGGAAGAAAAGCACGTGGAGCTGTTCTGTCTAGCTATGACTGAAACATTTGGTGCCTATTTGGTCGGCTCAGCTAAGGTTTATGAGGCACAATTGTGCATAAAGCTTGTCTTAGAGGAGCAATAAGTTAGAGAGGCAGAAAGCTTTCTGTGTCCTACTTTATGCTTTGCTTTGTATTCCTGTGTATTTTGTACTGATCCACGTATCTTGAAAAATAGGTGCATTAAGTAGGATGACTTAGTCATTTTCTATAGCAGAGGATGTAGTGTATCATCTTTATACAGGATTACGCTTTCCAATACCTTAAGTCACAGATTTTCAGGCACTAAGGTCACATAAAGGTATTCAAAAGATAACGAAAACATCACATGGTGATTCTCCCCACCCCCCAGCGAGCAAACAACAGAATGGGATCTCTTGCTGCTACGCCAAAGAAAAAGACCAGATATGGCTGTGGATTCGCAAGTGCACAGAGAGTGATGGGTTCAAAATCAATGAATAAATACAGATAAAAGGCTGGGTTATTTCAGAAACTTCACCTGCTTCATGGAGGTGATCCTAAGCATCCAGATCTTGGGAAGCAAAAGCTGCAAAAAAAAAAGAAGAGTTATCATAAGCATAGTATTGGGTCATTACCCCAGATGGAGACTTCCTATGGAAGGACATAAGGTGTCTTCTCTGTGCATATGCAGTTTTTAAAAGGTTGTTTATCTCACTGGAAAACTTTCAGGGTCTACAAACCAAAACGGTTCCAAACACACTGATTTACACAGTTGTAAGACCTATGCGTGTAGTGTTGTATCACATTTTGTCTGTCATACTGGAGATTATTTTTAATATTCCATGCCTAGGATTTCATAGTTACTTTGTGTCTGCTTCAAATAAAGTAATTCCCCATCTTTTCTTTGAGGTAGAATGGCTGTGACTGGAGTCTTACAGTGTGATATTGCTGTATGATGGCGGTTTCTTTGCCACAGTGATATATTGCTCTGGAGTGGAGTTTCTGGGAGCAAAGTGGAACAAAGGATAGCTTATTTTACAAGCACGATGTCACTTTGAAGAGTCGTGAGAAACAAGATTGTTTATGTAAAATAGTCCTGGGTATTAAATTCCCAGATGAAGTAAATTATTTGCTTGCAAACAGGTCAAGAAATTGAAATTATAAGATTCAATGCCTGTAATTCTATGCAAAAATGCTAATCTGTTTGAATTTGAATGTTTTTCCAAAATGTTTTTGTTTGATTGCTCTCCTAGTTTGAATTGCCTAGTAGTCGCTTTTTGATGACCCAGTTGTCTCTTTGAAAATCTGAAAATCAGAGGAAAAGCATTTCCAGTGCCTTGAAGACTTGAATTGCAGACCTTTCAGCAGAACAAAATGCATTAATTATTCAGGCATTTACTACGTGGACTTGTAACAGTCATTATTTTTTTATATAGATGTTTATTATACTGTCGTTACCTCTGATGAGGTATGGATGAATGTTTTAAATGATTGTGTAGTATAGCGTGCTAGCCAGTATCAGCATATTGCATTTGCAGCATGAAGAGCCATGACAACAGTAGAGGCATCATTGTATAAACTTTGAGGAGCTGTGTTTGTGTGGGTTGCCTAAGAGATGGGGGGCACCTGTATTCCCCCAGAGCTCAGGTACACATTCTGCTTTAAGGGGAAAAAAAGTCTGCTCTTCATTTGTGGATCAGTAAAGTCACTCTCGTGTGCTGAAGGCATATGATGCTTCTTACTTGTTCTGCAAAAACCCCAGAACATTTAATCTATGTTATCCATATGCGCAAAACAATGGAAATAGTAGTATGCAAAAATGAATAAATCTCTTTTCAGTACAATTCAAGCTAGGGAGGTGGCTCTATAGGAAAAACCTGGAAATCGGTTTTATTAGTAGAATAAAGATTGTGATTTAGAGATGTACCTTTAATTTTTTTAAAGGAACATACAGACAAATTTTCTGGAACTCTCTGTGAGAGAATTTTGACAAAGAATTATTTTCTGACAGCTTGTGACAGTCAGAATGAATGCCTTTTTAACAACCTCTGATGCTGGTTGAGTTTCTCAGTGTTCGTGGCTCCTGCCGAGTGGGGTACCGTGTCACTGAGAGCCACGTGCACCCGACTGCTGCATCTACCTTAGTGCCAGCTTGCACAGTCCCACACAGCCTGGTTTTGGGTGAGGTTTACATCTTTCACACAAGGAGGTACCCATGAATGTATATATACATATATAGCTGTGCATACATATATAGGTGTGAAAGCATACGTACGTGTGTACATACACTACTACGTCAATGAAATTGGGCTTAACTCAAGCCTGTGAAGCTTCTTTTTGACAACATACACATCAGTCTGAAGAACACCATCTTAAGCTCTCATGAGGTGTTGATACTAATCTGACATTATATTTTCCGTTCATTTATTGCATATTAGAGGTAACAAACACTGTCAAGCAACAGCAGCTCATTAATTTTAGAAAATTAGCAAAGCCATATTGTGGCCCACTGCTTGAGAAGCAGGTGTCACGGAAATCTCTGCTTTGTTTACTTGTGAGACCGTGTGTTTTTCTGCAGATTTTCCTTCTGTTGATCTGTCTCACATGAATATTTTTTTGAAACTTTGGCACCTTCCCCTTGTGTGCTAGTCTTGTGTGGTGGTAATGGAATTGAGAGCTGAGAGAGACTGAATGGCAAATAGGCTTCCTAATGAGGAAGGAGTGATTGGGTAGAGTTTGAAAAAAAACCAATTGTGAACGCGTCTATAATTTTGTTTGAACTTCAGAACTAAACTCTTAATTATGTTTTGCAGGACATGAATGATTACTCTCCAGTATTTAGCAAAAAGCTCTACAGGGGAATGGTTGCTCCTGATGCAGTCAAGGGCACCGTTATCACTACCGTTTCAGCTGAGGATCAAGATCCTCCGGTAAGCAAAAAGGTTCTATTAATACTCTGCACCCAAGAGAGAAAAATCTTTAACCCTCATAAAGTGACCTAACTCTCTCAACAACAAAGGTGATTATTATGAGTTTCACAGAGTGGTAACTCATACATTTTTTATGTCAGCCTGTCCTTTGTCGTTCTGGACAGAGGCTGCATTTACAATGATTGTTCCTGAAGCTGGCAAATCAATGATACAGCTCCTTTTTGCCAGGAAGATTTTTGGAAAGCTCTTTATCTGACTTCACAGTGTAGATGAATAAGAAGAATAGGCAGGAAGGGAAGCCGTGCCTGTCTTTGGTACAGTTCTGCAGCTTAAAGAGGAAACAAATGACAACTTTGTAAGACTGTGGCTTTCTTGATTCGCAGTCATTGTGCATTTCCAGTCTGAGACATCACAGGGTCACATGAAACTGTAGGGCTCACCAGCCAGCCTTATTGGATGTGCAGTATTTGAACTGAGTGCACCTGCTTTGGGGATAAAGTTTATTTCTGCCACTGGCTTTTATCGCTGTTCCCTGGTGAAGCGCTTGATTGACAGAACTGGGCACATATTTTTGATTTGTTAGCTATTCTGAAGGGTAATATCAATTTTGTAATCAGAGGTCGATGAACATTGGTGACCAGATGATACACTGAGGGCAATAAACGCCGAAGATGTTCTGCCAGCCCGGTTTAATTTTTAATTGTTAGTGTTTGGCGTATTAAGGAGAATAATCCTCAGGGAGAAGAGTTCAGAGAGAATGTGCCATGCACATTAAAAGCTGATGGCAGTGCTTTGACACAAATCAACTGTAGCTTATCTAAATATGCTACATAGTAATTTATTTACCACCCAAGGACAGAAATGCTAAAGCAGTGTTTCTGTAAGGACAGTCCTGCTATCCCCTTGTAAAAAGTCCTGACACACAAAGGTAAGTAAATTCCCTGCAGGTGATACATATCAGTGGGGTAACTGAACTTGGAGGCATTTAAGGTAGTTTATAACAGCAGAAGATCTGGACTATTGTTTGTTTAAAGTATAGGAAAGACAGTAGTATCATCAAGTAGGTAATGAATAGCAGTAGTTATCAATTAATAGTGCTACGGAGTATTTAAGGAATGCGGCAGCAGAGGACATAGACATTATTCGAGCAATAAACAACAGAAATGGAGAGAGGTGTACCTTAACGGCTAGTCTTGGACAATTTGAAGGGGAGTATAAGAGACATTGGTGCCTGATTTTGAGCACTCTCCTTGCATAATGGAGCCCAAGGTGTGTGTTAAGCTCCTTCCATAGAGCAGAGGCACAGTAGAATAAGGTCCCAACCAGCCAACATGTTAATCACAAATCTGCTTAATTAAAAGCATAATAGTCACCACATGTGTGCATTAGACTGATCAGCAGAGGCGAGTGGGAATTTCTAATGTCTTGCTTTAGAGGTGCTTTTAAAAACACATAGCCTAGGACCATTCTCTTCATGGCAGGCACCTACACTCTCCTGCAAAGACACATGTGGGTGTGCTCATAGCTCTTAGCATGCAGCAGGAGAAAGATGATGTAGTGGTAGTGCCTGCTCTCCTCTCTTTGCATCTTCTTATATTAATCTCGCTAGGAAAAGCCTTTCCATGAGATGTTAGAGGCCTAGGCTGCCTTCCCTCCAGTGACTGAAGGATTCCAACCTTTAGCTCTATTTCTGTGTAAAATATCTTAACCACCAGGAAAGAGGCTGGCCAGAGTTCCTGACAAACTTGAAGCGTATCTGTGGGTGTGTGGAAGTCTTCCAAGCCAGGAAGTTGCTATAAAAAGGTAACAAGCTGTGGCACCTATGAAGATCAGGGACATGCAAGACTAACCAGACTTGTACCCGCATCACCTGGTCCTTTTCTGGACTTGAACCGTTATGCCTAGGCAAGGGGATATATGTCTAGTAGCATTGTAGAAGTCGAAAATATAGAACTCCCTGCTATAGCCCTTCAGAGGGCTTCGTAAGCGTTCGTATTTTTAGCAATTTTTGCTCTGTGGAAGCCTAGTGCTCATGTCTGACCGCCTTCACTGTTCTCTGGGGCACACCAGGCCTAGGTTTCCAGCATTGTCTTAGTCGCTGTTTAAAACAATGATTTGCAGGAGAAAGTAGGCTTGATTGCTCAGATCTCATTGCTGGAAAACAATTTTGGAATTGATTTAATACTATTTGATTCTACTGTGTGAATGACTTTTATTGTCACATTTCATGAATGTCTTATTCTTCCGTATGTTAGGCTCAATAACATGGCAATTACAGAATGGAAATTGAGATCAAAGTGGGCAAAGTTTCTGGGTGGCATTAGAAGCCTGCAAGCATTACGTTTCCGCTATATATTGCGCAAAGGTGTTAGCTCATTTTGCTAGCATTTCTTCCTGAATAAAACACTGTACTACTGGGGTACTACCACCAAATTAGTAAACCTTGCCTTCACATAAATGGGTCTGAATTGCGTTCAGCATTTCAGGGAGTTCAACAGATGCTGCTTAGCTGGAGAAGATTCTCTGTCTGGGAATGACTTGGGAACCAGGGAGGTAGGAAACACCGTTTCCCGTTCAAGAGCTCTCATCCTCAGCAGTTAGCAGCAAATAATTCAAAAGGAAACACTCTGCCCATATCACAAGTGGAGTCGCTTCAGAGTGATCTGCCAGTGGAGAGTGGGGAAAACTGGCTGTGCATGACTGTTCAAATGGTGCGATTTTTTGATTGCCACAGTAGAAATCTAAAATATTAAGTTCATTAGTCGTGGTCCTATGGACCTGTCTCTGCCCCTTGCACGAGTACGTATTTGTTCCTAGCAGGTTTATCATATTGACCTTTGAGAAAAGTCTGCAGAAAAGAATGTTAAGGGTCAATGAAACTGGGCAAGAAGATTAATTTCTATTCCATGGACATTTCGACGTAAATGGGTTAGTGAGGATAGAAAAAAAAAATTACTCATTGGAGCTAGAGCATCACTTTTTAACTTGGTTTTTGTGCAGCTTTTATTTAAGAGTATCTGTTGCCCTACAACAAGATATTTTGGTCTCAATAAAGTACTTGCCCATTCTGATATAAGCTCCGTCTTATAATCCCTGGGTTTCATGTGTCTCAGATATCACTGAGATACTAGAGGAAACAAAATAGTTCAGAAACTGATTAACATATATTTATAACAATTCTTAGTCCTGTGGAATCAGCATTTCCTAATGCAAAGTTATTTCACTTTTTCATTTAAAAAAACCCAAACCCTTCTGAACTCTCTCCTTTTCTAACATTTCTGTCACTATCACTTGAACAGATAAATGTAGAAACTGGACATGGATAACCTTGCATGCTATTTTGTACAGTGGTAATAACGGCCATCTCTAGGTGGTTTGAGAATGGCAGAATAAAAACCTAAAGTGCTTACGTCTCCCGGATTCCTTTCTTATGATTTCCTCACATATTTATATGGACTTCTTTTATATGGTTTTGAGTGTTTCACATTTGAAAGATGTGGGCATCGCTTCTACTTCTGTGGAGAAATCGATAAGCGTGCATGAGAGAGAGATCAAAATCACTGAATGTGGGATCCTCTTTATTACCATTGTAACGGGCGTAAACGCGTATGACAGTAATGCTAAGATAATGTTCTTTGAAATCAACTGTTGCATTTCTTTGATTTTTATGAAGACTTAAAAATGAAGCTATCTTTAGGCATGTAATGAATACAATAGCCATAAAAGTTAGCCAACTATGGAGGAACGCTTTTAAAATAGTTTTTGAAAGTTGTTATTTTATTTCAAGCTAATGGCTAATAGTTTTCTCTATCTTCTTTTTTATTTTAAAAGTAAAAACTATCAGGCATAGATGGCTTTGTTTCTTTTTCTGACTGAGCCAACCTGTTTAGATGCTACTGGCAAATCTGTATTTATTTGGAGCTGGCTTTGACATTAGGTGGGTGTCACAAAGTATTTGATATGAATTCACCAGAAATTGTTTTAAAAAACACACAATCTTCTCTCTGTTCAGCAAGAGTGCCTTCCTCTAAACTTGCCTTAAGGGAAAGAATATTCTTAGTTGTCATCATCAATATTTTAGTTGTTTGTTTGGGGTTTTATAACCTGGTGGAATCTGATTTGCACACTACTAATACATCTATTTTATCAGTTCAGGAAATGAAATATATATCTATTAAGAAAATAATTGTGGCTTTAAAATATGCCTGATTATCGTAAGAGCGTAACTAATTTGAAGTATCCAAGCCTGAATCTCTCTGTTGTCATTTTACAAGTAATGTAGACTATTCCCCTGTCAACATTAAACTCAGCCCAGAATAAAAGTCAAGCTAGATTTTTTTATCATCTGCAATAAAAGCTTTTCAGACCTAATCAGCTCTTCAGAGCTGCCCACTGTCTTCAGCAAATCCCAACTTTGCTCTGCATTGTCAAATAAATACGGACAGTGTGAGAATCCAAGTTGAAATGCTCAGCACCTGCATGCAACTTCTCTGCAGATAAGGCAAATTTGAATTTTCCAACAGCAGAAGAGCGGGTTTGGGCTAGGAAGGAGGTGTTGAATGGTGTCAGTGGAGTTTGGCTCTCCATTTGACCCTGTAGGCACCATCCTCAGCCCATTCCTCCTTTGAGCTGCTGGACTGGAGTTATTGTGGTGTTGCCCCGTTGTTCCTCCTAGTCCCTCAACAGCAAAGGTGACAGCAGCAGTGACGGGCGTGTAAGTGGTAGAAAATAATTTCATACCACTGAGGTCAACCTTAATAAATCATCATCTGTAGCAAAGGATGCAGGTATTTAACCTACTTACTGTCTTACTTTTTGACTGTGGAAGTGCTCATTGAGTGATGTTCCTGAAAAAAGATCATTTATCTGTGGCTTTAAACTTCTAAAGGATAAGTCATAAGCATAAATGCAAGCATTAAATGGTCAGTGAGGCTGGCCTGGGTACAAAAAGTAACACAGGTGAAAGATGAGAGGTTGGAAGAGGCTTATGGCATAGAGTT